AGTAACTCGTAGAAAATGCTCCACAAAGTATTCTTTCAAAAGAACTTTCACGTAACTCATTCATCCTATTAACATCATTGAGTGCTATGCCCAGCATTTTTATTTTCCGAAGACTACTTCTCTGTTAACTTGATTCATCCATTCATTCATTCAACAAATATGTACCAAGCACTTACTTTGTTCTAGGCAAACACAGAGCAGATCAAAGGGCCTGGTCTTCATAAAGTTTGCATTCTATGTTGGAAGACACACAACAAGCAAAATGAGTAAGAAAAGCAAATCCAATCATAGTTTAAAGCATGATATGTACCATGCAGCAAAATTAAGCATGAAACGAAAAGAGAATAAGAGCTCCTAATTGGGATGGGAACATTTCTTTTCTTTCATACATTTTTTCATTTTCTTACATAGTTGTTTATTTTTGTTCAGTATTTGATTTCTCCCCTCAGATGTAGTCCTTGTACATATCTCACCACAATACCTGTGAACCATCACCACGGTCCCTTGTGCTCTCCCCACTCTTGTTTTTGATCCTGCTCCCTCCCTTCCCCCTCTCCTGCCTTAAGCCTCAAAACTATAGTTGACTACAAGTTTTGTCTTTTTTTTTTAACCCTTTGTTCACTTCCCCTATATTCCTCCTATAAGTGATACCATCTGATACTTTTCTTTTTCCTTCTGACCTATTTCATTGAGCATAATCCCTCTTCCAGCTGGGAACATTTGTAGTTAAGTAAAGTACCGATAGAAGACTCACTAAGGAGGGGCCTCCCTGGTGGTACAAGGGGTTCAGCTGCAACCTATGAAGCTGTCCACAGCTGCTGCAGCACCAGTTCGATCCCCCGCCAGGGAGCAATCCACATGGCACAGCAGACCCCTCCTGACTCACCCACTGCTCCCCTCAGGTCCCCTCAGCAGTATATTTCATTCTATCTGCCTGTTCTGCTCCCCACTTGTCTCTGGTGAATCCTCTCACCCCCACACCTCTGGCCCGTACCCCAGTTCTTGTATGCATAAATAAATAAATCTTTAAAAAAAAAAAAAAGCCTCACTAAGGACACAATTGGAGACTGGAAAGAGGTGAGGGACGGGACTGACTGTGTATCTAAGGGAGCTGGAGTGCAAAGAGACCAGGCAGTTGAAATGTACCTGCATGACCTGGAAAGAATGAGGTGGCTATGTGACTACAGGAAATTGTGGACGGGGGAACACAGGCAAGATGAGTTCAGGCAGGTGGCAGATAACACACAGACCATGCAGGACCTTGTCAAACATTGTAAGCATTTTGGAGCTCTGAGCAATGAGGCGGAATGGAGAAAGGCAAGAGGAATAACAGGGGCTGACGTCTGTTCTAGGAGGATGACTCTGGGAGCCACTGCCACGGTCCAGGCTACAGAGAGGGTAGCGGGTTGTTTAGGGACATGGCAGCAAATGGTAGAAGTGGTCAGAGAGTAGGGTTTTTACTTCAAGTGGATTGAATGAACTTAATTATAAGCAAAGTGAAGATTAAAGCAATTACTTGAATATTTGATACTTCTATATATATTAAATAAATGGGCAACCTACCAACATGCTCATTTACATGGAAAGTGATACTGATATCTGGGGAGTTGTTGACCATGTCTAATTCAGTGGGCATCAAATGATTCACCTTCCAATCTGATTTACTCTCCAAACACATTTGTTTTTGGTGTGTGTTGGGGGTGGGAGGAGGGCACTTTATATTCAACGATACTGCAAAAGAAATGTAGAATGGGCAAAAATAAAAGTGCCTACAGTTACTGTGATAATGGTAAACTGAAATAATCTGAAATAATTCTGCCCATATTACCTAGTTTTATCAACACATACCTCAAAAAGCAATAACGTACAATATGAAAATTAAATTATTTTCCTAATGACAGCTAAAGAGACATATAAAGGAAATTATGTTCTTTTCTACTTAAAGTAAATGATGTTTCCTTAAGAAGTTAAAAGTATTTGGGCCTCCCTGCAGGATAAGGAAAAATGTCAGGCTTTTCTGCCCTCCCGCCCTCAGGATAGATGATGGATCCTTGCGGTCCTGAATGCATGCCTGATGGCGGGCACCTGGAGTAGGGTGTGGGCATAGGTAGATGGGATTCACCTGGGCTAAGACTGGGCTTTTAAGGGCGGCATCACAGGGACACCAGCAGCAGCAGCAGCAGCCCAAGAGAAGCCAAGAGAGAAGCAAAGAAGCAGAAATCACCGGAGAGCCCAGATAGAGTGAGGATTTGCTGGGGGCTGGGAGGACTGCCTGCTGTGTACCAGATAAACCCCAATAAAAGATCTGCAAAAACCACTGAGGACTCTGACTCCTCCTTTACCCGGTCTGTTGGATCATAGAAAACCTGCGCTGTGGTCCTTCCTGACCCTACACTCCCCTGGTGGTGCAGTGGTTGAGCGCTGGTCTGTGAAGCTGCCCACAACCTCTGCAGTGCCGGTTCAGTCCCCAGCTGCCTGCGAGGGTCCCACATGGCCCACAGACCTCTCCTGCCGCCCACTGCTCCCCTCAGCAGTGTACATCGGTCCCTCTGCCTGTTCTGCTCCCCGCTCTGGCTCTGGTGAATTCTCTCACCCTCCCACACTTCTGACTGTACCCAGTGCTTGTATAAATAAATAAATCTTAAAAAAAATTAAAAATATTTTCAATATACCTCCAAGGATCCTACTTAAACAACCAGTAACATTTATTTATTAACCAGGAAATAAGCCAAATTAATAGTAGCTAATTTGGTATTTTCATCAAAGTCAAGTTCAATGTCAAACCAAATATAAATTTCACTGATATCACTATTGCCTCCTAAACTCCTCAGGGCCAAAAATATTGAACATTTCCTATATTTGAAAAAGTTAATTCTATAAGTGTTTCAAATCTGGAATTCCTATCTTCAGAAAGAGCACACTCATCATTTTGGTACCGATGAATAAGTAGGAGGAAAAGAAAGGATGAGAAAAATATTGGTCAATGTTCCAGTAAGTTTAAAATTAAAAAGAACACGAGAAGAACCACCACTTCATTAGCAAATGACTTTTAAAAGGCAGTTATCAATCAATGCTTTTTGGGGTATCCTTTCAAAATACTGGCTCTTTGAGTCAAATAAATCAACTTCCACATGTTTCTGATTATTAAAAAAAAATCTAAAATTATTGGGGTTGTGCATTTTGAAAGTAAAATGATGAATAGGATTACAAGAATATTTTCCAGTGTTTAAATGTTAGTTATTCAAATCCAGTGTGGCATCGAAAAGATGGTCACCATTTTAAAATAAATAGTATGGAGCCTCCCTGGTGGCGCAAGGGGTTAAAATGCAACCTATGAAGCTTCTGCAGCCTCTGCAGCACAAGTTCCATCCCTCAGCCGGCCAGGGAGCTACCCACATGGCACAGCAGAACTCTCCTAACTTGCTCCCTGCTCCCCTCAGCAGTGTACTTCAGTCAATCTCCTGTTCTGTTCCCCATTCTGTCTCTGGTGACTCCTCTCACACCCCCCCCACACCTCTGGCCTGTACCCCAGCTCTTGTATGCATAAATAAATCTTTAAAAAAATAAAAATAAATAATATGCTCATAGGGAAATATTAATCAGGTAAGATAGATATTGAAATAATTGTTTCTTATTCTTGTCCAATATAAAAGCATGCTGTAATTTTTTTGCAATTTGAGAGTGTTATAATGGCTATATATAATATTCCTTAGAACTATGGATTTAATGTCTATTTCCGGTGTCCAGGTTCCACTCTGCCTGTTAGACATGATGTGGGCACACCACTTCTTCACTTGTAAAATAAAAAGTACATATATAAAAAAAATGTAGCCTATATGGACAAGTTGTGGTTTAGTGGAAAATTCTGGCGCTCTTACACTGAGGAATATAATCAGTAAACTACCAACAGTCTAGGCGTTAGAGATTCCACTGAACAATTCTACTCATTGTATTCTAATCACTGTGCTGATGTTTCAAGGGGGTCAAAAATGGGTAAGATTCTCCTACTCGTGAATAGGTTCCACTTCCTCAGGTATTTAGTAATTTCAGATAGTATATTAAAAGCTCTGCCACAGGAAGTGGATGGGATCTGGAGAATGGGAAGCAAACGAACCAGGTGGATCATGTCCTGCAGGACGACGACTTCCATGATACTTTTTGCAGAAGGGGGCGCAAGAATATGAAGGACACGGGGTAGTGAGCGGCAGCTTGAAGGACGGGTGGGGAGAAGGGAACATTCTAGTAAAGCGAATCAGAGGTGGCTCATGGGCTCCTTGGTGGGTGTGGTGTGGTAGCATCCCGGGGTGAAGCTGAATCACACACAGGGTTGGGGACCAAAATTACTTCAGGAAACCCAATTTAAAATAAAAATAAATAAATAAAAAGGGGGGGTGAAGGCCCCGGAGGTGCGGAAGGCTGTGACAGGAACCCACCTGGAGGGGATTCGGGTTCGCTCCGGCCTCCCCGCTGTGAGCTCTCTGGAAGCTGGGGTGGCTGCCTCGCAGCACCCCAGCCCACACCCCTGCAGGCCTGAACCGCCGCGCCCGTTTTTCTCACTGAAGTCGGGGCGACATCACTTCTCATTGCCAAGGTGACAGAGCCGAGGCCTGGGGCCGCCGCGAGGGCGCTCTGTTCCCGCCCTGACAGAGGCTCGAGGCCCGCGCTGCCAGGGCTCCTCAGCCTGCTGGGCCCGCGCTCTGAGGTGGCCACCGAAGCTTCCAGAGAGCTCGCCTCGGGGGGCGCGGGGCCCAGACAGACACCCGCCTCCCGGGCTGGGCCCCCCACGTTCCCCAAGTCCGCGCGGGGCACTTAACTTCCCCCAGAGCCCACCTGAGCCCAGCTGAGGCAGTCGGCGCGGGCAAAGCGGGCTCTCCACACGGCCGCAGCACGCGCAGGCGCCACATGTCACGTGTGTGCGCCGCGTCCGTCGCGTGTGTACGTCACGTGCGTGGGTCACGTGGGCTTGCGCAGCCGCAGACGCGGGGAGCCGCGCCCCCGCCTTGTCCAGCCTGCAGCGACAGCCGCGCTTCAACATGCGTGGAGCGGACTCCGACAAGATTGGGGGGCGGTCCCCGCATCCGGGGTGACCCGGTAGGTTGTGGGGGCCTCAGCAGGCCCCGCTTTAGACCCTCAAGGAAAAGCGGCGTCTGTGCTCAGTTAAGGTTAGTTCGCGCGCGGCTGAGAGCCCCGGGACTGCTCCTCCCGCGCGTCTCCCACCAGCGGACACCTCGTAGCCCAGCGGGGCCCGACTGGGCGCTTGTAATTACCCTGATTTTGCAAAGGAATCGGGGTTCAGAGCGGTTTATAAGCACCCCAAGGTTACTCCGCTGGGAGGCGTCAGTCAAGCGTTCACCCGCTTGCTGGGCTCCGGGAGTGACCTGGGCCCTGCACGCCGCCTGCACGTGTCGCAGGTCTCCTCGTCCACACCTGAGAGCGGAGGCCTGCGTAACCCCCAACACCGTGTGGAACGTGGCAACCAGATGTAAAGCCACGCACATGCTTAGGGGCCCAGAATCTACAGCGTTCCTGTTCTGAAGTTGGTTCATCTGTTTCCTCCCACTCGTGTAACTCTCCTAGAGAGAAAGCCTGGGATATAACAGCAGCGCCGACCATGCATTACCTTGCGTGGAACCCTTCCTAGGTGTCCTGTTGCTCTTAAAAGCCACAGTCGCTTTTACGAGAGAGTCTATCCATTCCAACCTCTGCCTCTTGGGCCCTAACCCTCTCCCTTTATCAGTCGAAGCACCCCGTTCACCCATTCTCTCCTTTTCCAGACCCCTGGTGATTGCTCCAGGGACTGATAAGGCCACTGCTTCTCTCTCCTGACCACTGACTCGAAGGTAAATTCTCCCTAGACCTTTCGCCATGTCATCTTGTTTTATTGCTTCCAAAGTCTTTATCGTTCCCTGAACAATGGATTTGATGACATTTTTTATTATTTCTCTCCCATGTCAATATCAGAACAGTAACACAGTGAAGGCCAGCCAGCACTTCTACTTGAAGCCTGCCAACATCTCAAACAGTGTGACATCACCAGACAATTGGTGCTCTGTGCTTTTGGAATAAATAAATGAATGGATTATGTAAGGAAACAGATGAGCTAAAAGCTTCCATTCAATCAATGATCACGTTCTCTTTACCTGCCCAGGAAAAGTCAGTCCAATGGGGAACAACATCAAATACATGATTTGTAAACTTTCTTAATTTTGAGAGAATCAATATAACATACTACACAGAACTTACAAGTCAAACAGACCTGCTTTGAATCCTGACATCTTCAATTACAAGTTTTGTGAACTTGCTAATTTAGCTAATCTATTTCTGCTATATTTTCCTTAAATTTAAAATTAGAATAGTTATTTTCATAGAGTGCAATAAAAATCACAGATTAAAGTCATATAAAACTCTTAAGGAATCTGGTATTCAATAAATGTTAACTATTACTATTACCATTATAAAGAAATTAAAATCAAAATCTCCTTTTCATATTGAATTAATGAATAGTAAATGCTTAGCCAGCATTGACAATTTCAAAACAAAGGTAAGTATATCCCTTAATCATTCACTTCTTTATCTGCAACATTTATTATTTGGTTAAGATAGCAGGATAAAAAAAAGCATTTTGCAACAATTACCACTTGTTTTTCGGTTAAAATAACTGAGTAAAAGCATATTACCACATTATCTCTTCACATCTCCTATGAAAATGTGGGAATACAAAAATAATTGTTAAATTTCAAATCAATAGCATTAGAATCCAACCAGATTATACTTTTTGAACATCTGAATCTAAAGAAAAATGAATTTGATTTTTTATGCTCATTTTAACAGTAGATTGTATATTTGCAATATATGAAAATCAGTCAACATTTTTTGCTTGCAGAATATGTAATCCATACCATTAAAATATTCAACATATTTCTATTTAACATGATCAACATAAATCAATACATAACTGTAAAAAAAATTCAAAAGGCATCAACAACATATAAGTCACTCCATGCAGCCCATCTCTCCCCGCCAGCTGTATGAGTGGCACTGTAATGGTGCCAGCTGTATGAGTGGCACTGTAATGGTGACGCTGCAGTCATATAAATGAGGTACAAACTTTGTATAAAGTTATGAGTTACCCCACCCAGGTGAAATGCTGTAATGTGATACTATTTGGCTATTTTTTTTTTTTTAAAGGAGAACTCTTGTTTTTTTGTTTATTTAATTATTTATACAAGCACTGGGTACAGTCAGCAGCGCGGGAGGGTGAGAGAATTCACCAGAGCCAGAGCAGGGAGCAGAACAGGCAGACTGACGAAATACACTGCTGAGGGGAGCAGCGGGCGGCAGGAGAGGTCTATCACGCCATGTGGGACCCTCCACTGGTGGCCGGGGAACAGCCAGGGATTGAACCGGCGCTGCAGAGGCTGCAGGCAGCTTCGCAACCCAGCGCTCAACCGCTGTGCCACCGGGGAGGCCCCTATTTGGCTATTTTAATGAAAGATACACAAAATGGTCATCCCATAGTAAGCCTAGAGATCATGTTTCTCTATGATCAATCGTCAGCTGACTTGGAGATGCATTACTAGTTAGTGTTGCCAAATGGCTGCCTCTTTCCCAAGCCCATGAACACCATCAGCATTCAGTTAATTATAATCATGGAAGAATTTGGTCTGATAATTTTCAGTTTGAGCTCAACTGGCACTCTTCTTTTGCCCCACTCCAGGGGAAAAAATATATTTGTTGGTCAGTTTCTCCTCAGAATAGAATCTTAAAGGGATTGAGAAGAAAATCTCAAGCTAGTAAACACGAAATATGTATTGATTAATAGTTTTGCCAAATCTCTTCTTCATTTATTTTACCGAGGTAGCATTGGTTTGCTACATCGTATTTTATGGGTATAGGTTCATACCTCTTCACATGTATGCCAGGTCTTTTTATAATAAATAAATGTTGGCAACTATTCAATGTTTCAATGGCGACAAAAGCAGTTAGTATAACTCTTAGGACACTGTACCTAGGCAGTCCATCAAAACATAACCCCCCGATGAATACAAAGACCCCAGCTTCACTACAGTCACAAAGTGGAGTGAGCTGGGCTGGTGGCTTTCTCTGTTAGAGTATTTGTATATCTACAGTTACTTCCAAACAGGAAGTGTTTGGAGTAAGATTTCAAAACAGAAGGAGGAAATGATTAGAGAAGACTTCACACTTCCCTGGGTTATCGGTCCAGTGTGGGGAGCCCAGGTCACAGAGGGAGCTAGCATGCAACTGCAGTGTTCCGTCTAGGAGACAGTAGGGAGTGGACCCAGAGGGTCACCACTTAGTTCAACATTTTATACCTGAGGGCCCTGACGTCAGCTTACTTCTGCTTTGGGAGACATCATCTTGCTCCTCACAGGTGGACTGATGCTGAGGGGAAGTCTGCCCACGCACATGGCTCTCTTTCCAAGTTAAAATCCCCACTCCACGTATAAAATGTTCTTTAAAAAAATAAAATAAAAGCCTATTTTTGGGTCTCTCAGAGAAGAAATAAACTGGAAAAAATAAAAGTGAAGTGAATTAGCCTGGAAGATTGCAGTTATCAAGCCAGCTAGGAGGAATCTCAATTATAAAGCCAGCATTGCTGCTCCTCCTGGACTTTCTGTCCTGGCGGCTCTGTGGAGCTTAATAAGTCTAAAAGCATCTAGATTTTCTTTCATTGATCAGATTGCCCTCTTTTCCTTTCTAGTCTTCATCTGATTAGAAGTGAATGTGAAAAATAAGGTTTGTAGAGGCAGCCCAGGAAGGAAAAAAATATTTAAAAGGCCCAAGCAAACAAACTGTTAAACTGTAAGCTGCGATATACAACACTGCTCTCTTTACATGAGGCTTGGGAGGCATTTTACTGAACTGTCTGTGAAAGAGCTATGTAAAGCTAGGGGATTGAGGGAGTTGAAGTGAGAAGGCACAAAACTGTAATGCTTCCCAGAGTGGGCGAGCTGGCTCCATCCCCCAAGGCGCCTCCCCTCCCCCACCTCCCCTAATGAGAACACATTAAGCCTTTCTCAATGCTCCCTGTGCTCTTACACTGCAGAATCCTTGCATTGCCATGCACAATGCAGTCCGAGGATTTCTAACATTATAAAGAGAGAGAAAATGCTTTCTAGACAGCTCATCCAGCCCCTCCCCAGCGCTCAGCAGGGATTTAAGTGTGTCTACTTCTGCTGAAAGTAAATGCATGTTTTTGCCCCCAACTAAAAGGGACTTTTTCCCTGTTTCCTGCTCACAAAGGCATCTGTATATTCTCTCTGCATCTTACACTGGGGACATTGTCAGAATTTGGAATTGTAGACCACACACACATAGTTTATGCTCTCGGTTTATACCTTCACATTTTATTTCCTCACACACACTGCCCATTATTTTTAAGCTCTTCATGGAGATAAAGGAAATATCTGACTCAACTAGGAGGGCTGGAAGTCCAAATTAATTTAAGGAATAATTCCCTAACTTGATTTCTATTTTATTTTTCTGCTTTCTTCTTAACCATATAGGTATCAAGTATTACATTTTCAGAAAAAAAAAAAAAATATCCAGAAAAATTATCCATCTAGCTTCTTTTGATTTAGGTAAAGGTCTCATATCAATAATTAAAATCAGGGTGCCTGCCTGCTCCTTCTGGATTTCCAAGATTATACAGTATATTCAATGAATCAGAATTCTGAATCTCTACCCCATGGCAAGATGCTCCTCAAACATCAGCAATTCTTCTGGTGCTGAGCCCAGGGAGTTTCTGGGCCACCAGGCAGGGGTGGGAAGGATGGCCAGCAAGGCCAGGCCCCTGCTGTGACCATGGTTTGAATGCTGGTAGGACATCAAACCATCTCCACTCCCTTCCCCCACCCACCCCCACCCCTTACAGGCAGAGTTTCACCAACATTTCTAATAATAAAGAAGGCAACATGAGCTGATCTGACCTATCAAGTGAAGATGCATAGTGGTTTGTAGTTTTAGTTCGTTCTTTTGTTGTTACTAAAAAAATTAATAGTAAACATCCCCCAGCATCTATTAAAACAAACTCAGAGCTGCAAGTGGAAGAAATATGATGTTCAACTTTCAAACCCTCATCAGGACAGGTAGCTAGCAGGGTTGGGGCCAGATGGGATTAGATGACAAAAAGACTTGGAATGTGGGCTCCGCATGAAAAATGGAATGTCAGTTGTTAACTGACACCCAGGCAGTGGAACTGCCATCAAATGCAGGAGCCCCGCCATCAATACCTGTACTTTCCTTGCCCTGTGGTAACGTTAGCTTATTTCTGAGGGGGAAATATGCCCCTTCCCCTTCAGGCAAAAATAAGGAGCTTCATCCGTCAGAGTGTCTACCAGATACAGACAAGGGTCAGTCAGACAGACACCTTAGAGCAGAAGGTTTGCACCCCTTGCAGATGGAACTGCCAGAAGAATGACTTGCTAATTTTTTAGTTTTTTCTAATTTTGCAATTACTTTTTGGTCTCTGTCTCCCAAGTTTGTTCTAATTCAATTTATTCAAGTCAGCTAACATTTATTAACTGACATCTGTGTACCAGGAAATAGGAGATGTGCTGCTCAATGAGAAAGGGGGTGATGCACCCTGGGTCTCCTTGCTATCTGCCAAGCAGGATTTACCTGGCACAGGGGTAAGGGAAGGTGTTCCCACATGTCTAGCTTTCTTCACACATTGGTGCCCGCTCCTCAGTGTGCCCGTGCTTATTCTAGGCTCATGCAGGAGATCCTGGTTTCAAGATGGCCCTTCTGCCTTTTAAACATGAAGACATGTCCCTTAGCCAAACAGCAGGAGGAACAGTCCAGACCCTGATAGTCATGTTATGGAAGTTGGTTTGGCACAACCTAGCGTTCTCAAATACAGGAGTGGCCTTGCCTACCTAGGAGCGGGGGCACTGGACCAAGGATAGAGAATGACTCCATTTTCGGGAAAACTCCATTCAGACATGAGCAAACTCTACTGTGGTCTTTTCCTTAACTGCCCATCACCTACCAGTATCATCAGTGCCTAGAAACATGGCTGATTTCATCAAACCATCCTGTTTTGCTAGTGATTTAAAATTAAATACACACACACACACACACACACACACACACACACGTACTCTTTTGTCCTAGTGGAAGGACCACTTGTAACTTCTACAGAGGTCATTCCTTTGGTGTCCTCAGCTAGCTAGCTGATCTAGTCCCCTCTGTGTTTTGGTACAATCTCCTCAAACTAGAGCAAGTGGAGTGAGAGGGATCCAGATACTTCGTCATCCCAAAATTCTTCTGGTTGCCGAGAACCCAGTCTGGTGTAGCTCTCAGTGCACTTGCAGTTCCGTGAAGACACCAACTGCAAAGCCTAGAGCTCTGGGCCAGCTCTGTCGCTGGTAGGCGGCATCTCCA